AATGGATGTACAGCAGGTTAAGTTCTTTGCGCGAACATGCACCGTGAAGATCGGGACTTAAATTGGTCTTCAGCGTAATGCTTGTCATGTGACTAGCAGGATGTGTACAATGGTAAGGATTTGGGGACCCCAAAGCTTCACAGTAAGAAGAATAGTTCCTAAATAGTTCTGTAAGCTGAATGTCCAGTCAACTAACGTAAATGGGAAAACAAACTTTTGAATCAACGAATATCACATGCCTGTGTATGTGAAGGTTTGATATTTCAGGTACCCCTTGAAAGAGATCTTCTATAAACAGTCCTTAGGATAATGTTCCGGTATAATTGCATGAGATAAGTGAGCAGTGGTGAGTAGTATGGTTGTATACAGCAGCAATATTCTGAAATATATCGGCTGGTTAAAATGGGCCCGTGCATGGACATGGGTTTCATATTATGAACGTCTCAAGAGCATGATCAACAACTGAAGTCATAATCGTCTCATTTTGCTATTACAGAGTTGCGTCCCTTTGGCACGTAATCAGAAATCTATTGTGATGGGATCGGTTCAACCTTTGACTTCTTTTGGGCTCTTCATCATATCAGCACTCATGGGTTTGGTGAAATGACTCAGATCGGCATCATTTCGTTCCTCTCACATTAGCTGACTTCCAATAGCTGATATACTGTCAAAACCGAGTTAAACCAAATTTGTTCGCTAAAGGACCGTTCATAATTTGTATGGCTGGGGGTGATAATGATTTTTATGGCGAAGCGCTAACGATAATGAATGACCCCCTAAAATTTGAGTACAAATAGTTGACCCCCCTGCATGTCATGTACCAAATTCAATGGCCCCCCTCCGCTTCCCATAATTGCTTAGCACAATTTCTTTCGGAACATGTACAAAATTGATGACAACCCCCACCACCCAATACGTGTGTACAAAATTGCTGACCCCTATAGCTCCCAGAGCAAAATTAGGTTCCATGTAAAATCATCATCCGCCACCTATCCATAAAATTATGAACGGTCCCTAAATCAAGGAGCTGAATTGTTTATTCCAGCAAAGTCCGTGTTTTCTGTGAGATATTAAGACGGTGGGGGCACAAATGTGTTTGTGTCTCCAGGTCATAATTTTCTTGTACCAAATTACCGTCCCAGATTTGGGATGTAGTTCAGCTGTATATACCTATATAACAATTGATTGACATTATTTCGCTTCTATTTCCATCGCTTTAGTCTGCGACCAGGGTACCTATGGACACGAATGCAGTAACAAATGCTCCACGTGCAGAGACTCCATCTGTCACCCTGGCAACGGCACGTGCATCATTGGATGTCAGCATGGTTGGGCCGGAAGTCGGTGCGATACAGGTTAAGACTTCATCTGTCACTGATCAGCGCAATATCGTAAAGAATCATAATAGTTTATAGTGAATTTCAGTATTTAAGTACATTACCTTTGAACACGATATTAAATTAACGAAGCTTTGACTATTTTAACAAAATGAGATTGTTGTTTAAATTGTTAAGTATACAGTAGAATTCGCTTTCTGTATTTCGTATGGTCCCCATTGTTTTCAGGCCTTTTGATCTTTTTTTTCTCTCAGCAAGACAAAACCGCCACAGAACACAGGTATATCTTTAATTAGCACCTGTTTGGGTGTACATGGTGCTCAGAGTATGTAATTGTGCATCACCATAGGTTTTTGCATAGGGAACACCCAAAATGCAATTATATAATATGGGACTTTCACTCACTCGTATGGAGGGTACAATAGTAATATTTTTTGATAAGTTTGGATTTTGGTGGGGCCTCACTTTTCACAAAGTCAATGTCTATAATTTGAAAATCATCACTCCTATTACATGTATACGGAAATTACCGAGCCTGCGAATGATGCTTTTGACAACGTCGCTGATTGCAACTAAATCTGATTGCAACCAATCTCACGATCCTGAACACTCGCGCCATATGAAAGGAGCCGCGTATTAGAACGGGGTTCGTAGGAAAGTTTGGCAAGTAACCTCTAATGGAAGAATGTCACTGGTAATACGTTTATATATTATTTTTGGAGCCTTGCATGTTGGTATTTCAATGTTTTGAAAATTATATTTCCCGGTAGAGAATTGCCAGCGGCTATATATGGTGTGGGATGCATTGCAACTAACAACTGTGTCGGTGCTGTGATCACGTGAACGGCGTGCGCGATGCGGCACTGGGATGGAAGGGAGATAAATGCGATGAACCGTGTACAGAAACAGAAAGAGCAAAACCTAACGCCCTTGTTCCATTCATCTCGTAGCCTATTGGTTCAGGATCTGACTGCCGTCACATGCACGAAAGACGTAAAAATGGTACTTGTTGGTCCTGCCTGCTCGAAGCATTAATGGGTACAACAAGGACTGGTCAGCTACCGGATAAAGTTAATTATCTTTTCAATTAGAGTGGTACAATGATCGCTCGCCATGCCGGGGCGGTTCGATTCCCCACATGGGTACAATGTGGAAGCCCATTTTCTGGTGTCCCATATTATTGCTGGAATATTATTTAGAATAACTCACTATTTATTGATCAGTAAGACTACGCATACATGTAACCGGTTCTAAAAGCACGAAAGAAAAGCTAAAATTAACAATTAAATAATGGTATTATGTAGGTTGACAAAGCTGCATTTGTGGAACCGCCTCCAAACGAGTGTAGTGGTTGAGGCATCGCCGGAGTGCCAGGAAGACCTTGAGTTCGAATCCCAGAAGACCGCGTCACATGCTCGAAAGACGTTAAAGTATATGGTTCTTACCTAGACTGATTCTTGTGCTCGGCATTAAATGCGATTACAGCAAAGGACTGTGGAACTCAAAGAGTCGAAGTATAAATGTATGTCTGGAGTGGGGATATTCATAGCTTCACGCAAGCGCCATGGTATCTCCGGTGGGCTACTTGCTATAAAACCAGCTTCAGTCTGGGCTGCAGCACAAACAGCCGCACATACGCACAAACGCGCAAATCGTCAAATCAGGCGAAATATTCTCAAGCTGCGACGTTAGAGCCCAATTTCACCTCACCCTGCACCTATTGTTTGCGAGGCGTTCGCTCATCATGCCGTAAGACCGGGTTCGATTTCCTTCGCCAGTTAGAATGTTTGATTACCCCATTGCGAATAATGTTCCCCGTCGTGATATTGCTGGAATATTGCTAAAGCCAGTTAAATCTAAACTCACTCACTATTTAATCTGGTCGAGTATTTGTCCTCAATCATACATCTCAATAACAACAACCTGAACTTAATCCAGGTAGCACAACATTGTTTTCGTATAGTAATCAATTCTTCATTGACTTCGTTTTGACCTAAACTTATTTCAAATAGACCCTCCTCGTGGCTGTCAACTGCGGAAGGTAATCTTCTGGCTATATCAAGTCGGGATATTAGTGAAACATTGTTCATTGATACTGCTTCGAAACAAAACCCACACGAAACACCCGCCACCTAACACAGTTGTTCCGTCCATACCATTACGTTGTGTCGACGGTGGATGCAGACCCGTCACGATCAAAGCGTAAATCCATCAGTGTCAGGACTGGCTGGATCGGGATTAATAACGACCAATGGTGGCGAGATCGTTAATGGCAGCAATTGTCCTCCTGGCCCATGTAGACATCTCGGTGAGTATAAAGATATATGCAACTTTAAGCTGTATTCTCTACTCGTTTCCGCATATAATTTGCATTCGTTTAAGCCACAAATGTAAAGTGTTCGAAGTAACGGTGTTGCGTAAGTATAAACAAATACGACAAATTTGTGTCGACGCTGGCTGAATCGATATACGTGAGAGTACTTATCCGAGATTCGACACAAGCAGCAAGAATATGACTAAATAAAAGGAATGCAGGGACCAAATTTGTACTTGTTTCTTTTTTAGCGTGTTTAACGTTACACTCAGCAACATTCTACTTGTATGGCGCAGCCTCTAAATAATCGAGGTGGACTATACAATCCAGTGACTGATACCATGGGCACCAGTTTACGCCTTTTGGATACTATGACATGCATTAACCACGTCATGGATCATTTTAGTCATAAACATGGATTCCTGACGAACGTTCGACCGTGGATCATCACATGTATTCACACGTAAACAAGCGGTAGCCACACAAGAGGCTTAAATCACATGCAAATGCAAATATGTTCACAACAAAACTTTTATTCAAGGAAAAGAAAAAGAAACAAAATGGAATCCACCAAACTTAAGGCTCAACCAAAGGCATGCTTTTTTGTTTATATATAAAGTATGTACACTCACTTGTGCAAAGTAATGCTAGTTTCTACTTGCTTTTTGTACTGATATCATATCATGGTTGTGTCTAAATCTTACTTTCAGACGACGAAGACAGAGGGAACCCAGGAGCAGGAGTTATATATCAGTGATATCATTGATGATATTCATCCGGGTGTATTGCCGGAAGTCAAATTAATCAGAGCGAGTCACGTGAGCATTGCTTGACGCTCTTGCTGTTACATCACGTGATCCAGACGATGAGCTTGGAAAACCCTACGGCCCTGAATGCAATACCGCAACAGCGTAGAAGAAACTCACTTGAGGATTATGACGTTCTTGACGTCACATCACGTGACCCCAGAGAAGGGAATTGAAGAACCTACACGGAACTAACTACCAACACGCCATATCAAAACATTCCGATATCTGGAGAGATCAATCTTGTTAAAATATTCATATCTGATTTCCATATGTCGGGTTGATAAGCTGTCTAGTTAATAAACCTGAACAGATTGAATCTACAATGTACAGTAGCCGGAAATAAGTCTTCCAAATCATTTCCATTTCGAGAGAATATGAACCATGTGGAAAGTCCAATGTTCCTTTATTTTTTGATGATTCTTGTACGTGATCTAGAAAATCTAATGGAACTTTTGAAAACTGTAGGGTCTTTGTAAGCGACCTCACGCTTTCTGACCTTTCCTGATAGAATTTTTGAGTAGAGGCGTATATAACCAAGACCCGATTTGTTGAAGGAGAAATTCATCCATGAACATTTGAACATCTTTATGTGCATGGTTTCTTTATTTTATACCCCATCTAGAAATCCCGTGGTTTTGTGGTGGACCAACAGATTAATACCCATGTAGAAATCCCGAGGTTTGTGGTGGACCAACAGATTGTACCCATGCATAGAAATCCAGTGGTTTGTGGTGGACCAGCAGTCAGTTGTACCCGCGTGAAAATCTGCGTTGTCTGTGGTGGACCAACAGATTGTACCCATGTAGAAATCCACTGGTCTGTGGTGAGATGACAGATTGTACCTTACATGTAAGAAATCCATAAAGGTCGTGGTGGACCAACAAGATTGTACCCATGTAAGAAATCCAGTGGTGTGTGGTGAGGATAAGCAGATTTACCCATGTAGAAATCCCGTGGTTTGTGGTGGATAACAGATTGTACCCATGTGGAAATCCCGTGGTCTGTGGTGGACCAAACGGTTGCTACTGGGAAATTGGTGTGGTGGATATAACCCTTAGATTCTTACCCATGTAAAAATCAGTGGTTTGTGGTGGACCAACAGATTTAGCCATGCTTGAAATCCCGTGGTCTGTGGTGGACCAACAGATTGTACCCATGTATGAAATCCAGATTGGTCTGATATGGTGGACCAACAGATTGTACCCATGTAAGAAATCCAGTGGCTTGTGGTGGACCAATGAGTTTTGCGTATGCTGCCAGGAAATCCAGTGGCTTGGCGTTGGACCAACATGATTATACCCTGTAGAAATCCAGTGGTTTGTGGTGGACCAACCAGATTATACCCCATGTAGAAATCCACTGGTCTCTGGTGGACCAACATGAATTCGCTATGAAATCCACTAGGTCTGTGACGAACCAGCCAGATTGTAGCCATGTAAAGAAATCAGTGTGGTACTGTGGGCTGGAGCAAAGCTATTACCCAATGCTGAAATCGAGTAGTCTGTGGTGGACCAACAGATTGTAGCCATGTGAGGAAATCAAAATTGTATTGTGGTGGACCAATAGTTTGTACCCATGTAGAAATCCAGTGAAGTTTGTGGTGGACCAACAAGATTATGCCCATCTAGAAATCCACCTGGTTTTGTGGTGGACCAACAGCTATATTAAGGAAATCAGTAGTTTTGCAAAGTGGACCAACATGCCCACTATGAAATCAAGGATTTGTGAATTTGGAGCAAAAGCTAGTACCATGTAGAAATCGGTGGTTTTTGGTGGACCCAACATATTGTGGCACCCGTTAGAAATGCACTAGTTTTGTGGACCAACAGATTATACTATATAGAAATCAGTAGTTTGTGTGTGGACCAACATATTGTACCCATTTAGAGGAAATCCACTGGTTTGTGGTGGACCAACAGATTATGCCCATACATGAAATCCACACTGGTTTGTGGTGGAATAACAGATTATGCCCATGTAGAAATCCAGTGGTTTGCGGTGGAGCAAAAGCTGAGTACCTGCAATGTAAGGAGAACCAGTGGTGGAGAATCACTATGGTCTGTGGTGAACCAACAAGATTGTACCCATGTGGAAATCCAAAGTAGTTTGTGGTGGACCAACATATTGTACCCATTTAGAAATCCACTTTGGTTTGTGGTGGACCAACTTAATTATGCCCCATGTAGAAATCCAGTAGTTTGTGGTGGACCAAGCATATTGTACCCATTTAGAAATCCACACTGGTTTGTGGTGGACCAACCAGGTGTACCCATGTAGAAATCCAATGGTTTGTGGTGGACCAACGTGATTGTACCCATGTAGAGAATCCAGTGGTTTGTGGTGGACGGGCCAGATTATATGCATCAAATGAGCGTGGTCATTGGTGGTGGATAGCAGATTGTACTTACATGTAGAGAATCCATGGTAGCTGTGGTGGACCAACAGATTGTACCCATGTAGAAATCCAGTGGTCTTGTAGGTGGACCAACAGATTGTACCCATGTAACGAATCCAAGTGGTCTATGGTGGAGAAATTCATGGTGGGTCCCGTGTGGTGGACCAACAGATTGTACCCCATGTAGATACCCAGTGGTGGTCTGTGGTTGGATAACAGATTGTACCCATGTGAAATCCAGAAGTGGTTTGTGAGGTGGACCAACAGATTGCCAACCATCCTAGAAATCAGTGGTCTTATTGGTGGTGGACCAACAGATTGTACGTATGTAGAAATCCAAGTGGTCTGTGTGGTGGACCAACAGATTGTAGCCGCCATGCCAAAGAAATCCAGTGGCTTGTGGTGGACCAATAGTTTGTACCCACATGTAAGAAATCAGTGGTTTATGGTGGACCAACACAGATTATACCCATGTAGAAATCCACTGGTTTGTGGTGGACCAACAGATTATACCCATGTAGGAAATCCACACTGGTCTGTGGTGGACCAACAGATTGTAGCCACGTATGTAGAAATCCAGTGTGGTCTGTGGTGGGAGCAATAGCAAGTACCATGTAGAAATCCAGTGGTCTGTGGTGGACCAAGCAGATTGTAGCCATGTAGAAATCCAGTGGCTTGTGTTTGGACCAATGGTTTGTGTACCCATGTAGAAATCCAGTAGTTTGCTGGTGGACCAACAGTTCATGCCATGTAGAAATCCACTGGTTTGGCCAGTGGATAACAGATTACCTTGCCCATGTAGAAATCCAGTAGTTTGTGGTGGACCAACAGATTATGCCCATGTGAAATCCAGTAGTAGTTTGTGACGGTGGAGCAAAAGCTAGTACCCATGTAGAAATCCAGTGGTTTGTGGTGGACCAGATATTATTGCCCATTTAGAAATCCACCACTTCTGGTTTGTGGTGGACCAACAGATTATCACCCCATGTAGAAATCCAGTACGGTTTGTGGTGGACCAACATATTGTACCCATTTAGAAATCCACTGGTTTGTGGTGGACCAACAGATTATGCCCATGTAGAAATCCACTGGTTTGTGGTGGACCAGCAGATTATACCCCATGTAAGAAATCCAGGAAGTGGTCTGTGGTGGGAGCAAAGCTAGTACCCATGTAGAAATCCAGTGGTTTTGTGGTGGACCAACATAATGCACCCATTTACACGTCCGCACTGGTTTGTGGTGGACCAACTTAGATTATGCCCCATGTAGAAATCCAGTGGTTGTGTGGACCGGCATTGGACCAACATGGTTTGTACCCATGGTAGAAATCCGGTGTTTGTGGTGGACCAAAGCGCTTATTGTATGCCCATGTAGAAATCACTTTGGTTTGTGGTGGACCAGACAGATTGTACCCATGTAGAAATCCAGTGGTGGTTTGTGTTTGGACGAACAGATTGTACCCATGTGAAATCCGTGGTTTGTGGTGGACCAACAGATTGTACCCATGTAGGAAATCCGTGTGCTGTGGGTGGACAGTGGAGCACGTGAAATCGGTGATTTGTGAGACCAACAGATTGTGCCCATGTAGAAATCGTGATGCAGTCTGGATACACCAATCAGTCAGAAGGCGTCGTTTTTGAAATCTTTTGTCCAGTTCGATTACTCATGCAGAAAACGTACTTGAGTAGGAGTTTGTTCTTGTGAGAAGAAAACATGTACACCAATGAATAAGATTTTCTTCTAAAACATTGGCATTGTTGGCTTTCAGGTAGATTATGCACAATTCATGAGGCAGATTATCAAACATTTTTTCCGATATTAACTTAAATTATATGGTCACTCTTTATAGTTTCTGAAAACTTACATTGAATAGTTCAGACTCCACAAAATGTTGTAACAATTTATAATGTTTTCAGTTTGAATGATAAAGCACTTGATTAAACTCCTGAATGCAAGAATTGAAGGAATTAGTTAAATGCATACATACTTGCCACGGACGGGGTTCACATACATGTAAATAGACAAGGGCAACATATCTGAAATTGATATTATAAAATCATGGTTGTAAGTCTTATTTCAATTGTATTGTCTGCGGAGTAATTGTGGCTGATGCTTTGCTTATCTGGACACTAGTTGTCTCCTTTGTTATCCTCAGTTGTCATGTTTCATCCCATGATATGAGCGGCTGCAAGTTTATATACTAAGATATCATATAAATGGAGTGTTAACAACATAATAGTTCATCTGTGCAGCTATGTCAGTGTAGTTTAAAGCAAGGGAATTTTGACTATATCTGATCAATATCACCATACTGTATATCAACATGCATGTGAATGTAAAAACAAGAAATTCTGTGTTGAAATTGCTTCCTCTGTACACAGATATTGCTTCTTCTGTACGCAAACACAGACACTGGTTCCTTTGTACACATATAATGCTTCCTCTGTACGAAAACGCAGATATTGATTCCTTTGTACGCAGATATTGATTCCTTTCTATGCACATTTTGCTTCCTTTGTACGCAAATATTGGATTTGGTTTGTACGCAGAAATTGGTTCCTTTATTACGCAAATATTGATTCCTTTGTACTCGGATATTGGGTAGATTTGTAAAGCACACATTGCTTCCCTCTGTTCCTGGAAATATTGGTTGGTTGTACGTATAGGAGGTGGTTCGTGTACGCAGATATTGGTTCATTTGTACGCAAATATGGTTTCCCTTTGTATGCAGCTATTGGTTCCTTTTTCACGCAAGATATTTTTTTCCTTGTACGCAAATATTGATCCCCTTTGTATGCGGATATTGGTTCCTTTATATACGCAAATATTGGTTCCTTCGTACTTGCTCACATATAGCTTCCTTTGCACGCAAATATTCATTCCTTTGTACGCAAATATTGATTCTTTTGTACGCAGGATGTGGTTCTTTTATATATGGTCAAATATTGGTTCCTGTGTACGCAAGCATTTGCTTCCTTTGTACACGAATATTGTTTCCCTTTGTACACATATGTGTTGTTTGGTCTTTGTACGCACGCAAATGTTGCACTCTTTTGTACGGAAATATTGATTCCTTTGTACACCAAATGCTGTTTCCCTTTGAGCGCAAATACTGGTTCCTTTGTACGCTGATACTAAATTCCTTTATACGCACTTGAAATTGTTGACTCTTTTGTACACACGATATGTGGTTCTGGCAGATGCGCGGATATTGACACTTTTGTATCAATTATATGGTCCTTTATACATAAATATCGGGTTCCTTTGTATGCAAATATTGTTTCCATTTCTTTGCAAATATTATGCATATGGTTCGTTTTGTACGCAGATATTGATTCTTTTGTACACCAAAATACAGGCTCCTTTTGTACGTAGACAGTTCTTTTATACTTTACAATGAGAAGTTCTTTTATACGCAAACATTGATTCCTTTCAACGCACAAATATTGGTTGGTTTACGTACGAGATAATATAATAGTTCATTTGTACGCAAATATTGAGGATTCCTTTCTACGCAAATAGTGATTCTTCTATATTCAAATATTGCTTCCTTTGTATGCATATATTTTCCTTTGCCTTGCGCAAATATTGGTTCCTTTGTATGTACAATACAACTTTCTTTCCAACACAAATATTGTTGATACAAACCAAGAACATGAGTCTCATTAACCAATTTAGACAATGACCTACTTTTCAACCGATTCAGAATTTTTCTCGTGTGAAAGTGAAAGGGAGACACTACACACAACTATGGTTACACTGAATTCCAATTTCCTACTTGTTTCATAAGAAAATGGTATTGTTACAAATTCGTCTTAATTTTAAACTTTAATAACATCGTATTTCTATATTTTATGTCGGGGTTAAGGCAGCATGTCGTTAAGACGTCTGAACTATGCCCTGATGTTTGGAAGAAGTCGTTAATGATTCACTGATCATCTGTCTCACTGGATTTACCTGTAATATATTTCTGTTAGCTTATTCAGTGTAGTTTGCTTAACGCGCGCTGTGATTGATATATAACATCAAGGTCGTATGAAGACCGCCAAACCTTCCTCAAGCGGTTGAGCCTCGTTTTTCAGATTTCCACGACCTTCCGATTTCCGTTTGTCAGCGCACGCTGCATATATGTACGACACCTACACGCTGCGACCTGTTTTGCAGTAATTAGAAGGAGCGTAGTGTTTACCCAATATACAAGTGATTAGGTGTATCAGATAATGCAGATTAATAATTAAATGATGTCGGATTGAATCTGGGTTGGTCTCCAAAATTCGTTGACTAGTTGTTTATTAGCCAATCGAGTGCGCAATAGGATTGAACCCAGTCAGCCAGGAAGAGCAGAACTTATTGTGCGTAAATCAAATTTGTTTTGACTTGCTTTTTATGCGACATATTGACTCCTTTGTATGCGCAGATATTGGTTCCTTTGTACGCAAATATCTGGCTAAACTCAACAGCCAGAAAATATTGGTTCCAGCTGCGTATTTATTTATGATGTCACCGTTACAGATGTTTGCAATATAGTGTCAAAATCGCCTCGATCCCTATTTTTACCGCGACTGCAGTCCATTTGTCACGAAAATAAATGTCTGAAACATTAATGAGCAAGGGTATTTTGGTTTTCATTAGTTCTGTTGGCAACTTAGGAACGCATCCTATCCGCCTTTTCTGGAATCAATCTTCCAAGAAGGTGTGTCCATATAAAGAAATGCTTTCCAGGATCCAGCAAATTTAGGAATAGAATTTACAGGGTATCCAGCGGGTGGCTCGGGTGTTTTCATATTTTCACACACTCGCTCAGTCAAGTTGTCACGGTTGTAAAGCTGTCAATTGTCGGGTAAGTGGAAACCGTACAACAAAATGTGTACCATCTTCCCCGGACGCGGTGTTCATACAATAATTTGTTCACTAATGCGGTAACTTCACAGATTTTATCACTGTTTTGCGACATACTACCGGTCAATCAGATCTCTGCATATACTCCAATCAAGAGATCACTCGATCAATATAGCTAGTCGCTGCGCATCATATTGGAACACAAACGTTCTTGGAAACTAAATACCATACAGAGTTATTATTATTATCGCATCGAGGGAACAAATGCGT